AAATTAAACCTGTAATTTTCAACCTAATGAGTATTAAGTGGAAGCGGAATAAATCTGAAAGACTTTGGCTAAGCAGAGCACTAACAGTGGTGGAAAAACTAGTCCCACAGAAATGGAAATCCAAAAAGCAACCAACAATCAAAGATTGGAGCATGGACATTCTAAGCTTGGCCACCATGGAAAGAATCAGGAGGGGGTCAGTAATCGCACTGCCTGGAGTTAACAGCTTTGGGGGCCGAAGTCACCCCAGATTAGGCCAGGGAGCCCCTGGAAGGGCACTGAGAGGTCCTTTGTGGATGCATCTTCTCCATCAGCCAGGGCTGCTCCAAGACCGACCCAGAAAACTTTTTACAAATGTCATTTTTTCTCAGAAAGCCTCGTTTCAAACATGTCTGAATTATTGTGGTGAAACTAATTCTTTCCCCCCAGTGTTGGGTGATATTTAGGTGAAAATTTCAAAAGTATCACTTTGGGTTTTTTCCCGTGGAAAATAAAAAATGTTTTCTGATCACCTCTGAAGAAGTCTCCACCCAGGTGTCGGGTGTGTTGAAAAATCTCAACTTTAACAAATTGCTGTTATTTGCATGAGGGTGGTACATAGACCGAGATCCAGGCCCCTATTATGCCAGGGGCTGTGCAGAAACTAACTGAGATCAGGGGCTCCCTTGCTCCAGGCCTTTCACTGACCCAGGCAGTGTCCAAACACAAGCCAAATTGTTCTTCACATTGTGCAGATAGGGAAACTGAGGCCCAGGAAGATTGTTTGTAAACCTGACTAAGGGATTTCGCTGACCATCCTCAATCCATACAAATCCCTGTCCACAGAGATCCTGGGCAGATCTAGGAATGGTCCCAGATTTGTTGGGTCCCAGCCCAGTGTCCTAGCCCCATGGCCGACCTCCCTGTCTGGGACACGGATTGGCAGTGGGGTCCGAAAAGGAGCCTGTTGGGGCTTGGCCACCCAACCCCTTGTGCTGCTGTGAGAGCCCCAGGTGCACGCAGGAAAGGATGCAGGGGTTGATACAGGTCCTTGGCCCCAGCAGGAGCAAGGGGAGACCCTAATTGCTGCCCACAACTCCCCATATGGGGTGAGGGTCCCACTGCCCATGGGCCCTGATCCCCCCCATCCCCAAACTCACCAGCCTGAGACCCAGGGGGAAGGCGAAAGGCCACGGGAAGCAGAACCAGGATCAAGAGCTCCATCGTCAGAGCCATCCAGGCATGGCCACGGAGCCTCTGCCTGAGCCCTGGGGGTTATATGGACCAGGCATGGGAAGGGGAGGGGAGGGAGGGCAGGGCAGGGCAGGGCCTGGCAACCACAGGGACGTGTACCCTACTGCCTGTAATCTCCCACCCCAGATGGCCCAGAGGTGGAGACGCTGATTGGAGAAGCCTCCATCCACAGCTGTGCCCACATCAGGGCGGGGGGTTTCCTCCCTGCTCTGGTGCCCACTCGGTCTGGCTGCGGATGTGGTTAACCCTGCACTGTTCCGTACTACAGGTGTAAGAAACACCCTTGGGCATCTCTGCACTGAGATACCCAGACCCATAGATTTCAAAGGTAGAAGGGACCATTGTGACCTCCCAACCTGACCCCCTGGTGGAAACCCCAGATCCAAAACCCACCCAGCATTTCCTCCCTTCACTACAGCCCCAGGTCAGTTGTTCCCATGGCTGCATGTTTAATGGTCGCATATTAGTCTCAGCCACACCTTTTCTGATTCCAGCTGCCGGCCATCGAGTCTTTTCCTGTTTTGGCCAGAGAGGTTGAAGAGCCCCCTGCTCTCAGAAACCCCTGCCCCATGGAGGTTTCTGCAGAGGGGGCCAAGTCCCCTCTTCACCTCCAATACCCTCAGGAGACCACTCTCCTTTTACCTCTCCCCACCAGCTTGTTCTTGTAGCTCTTTCCAATTTGCCAAAGTCCTGCTAGAGGTGTGGACATTTGAGGTGGACAAAATCTCCAGTCATGGTCCCACAAGGGCTGAATCCAGAGGTGATCCTGTGACGTTGCACTCCATATGCTTTATGGAAGTATGCTTATGAATATGAATTAACTGGAATATGCTTTACACTAAATACCCCTTGTATGGAGTCATTAGAAAGCTTGTAATCTACTAAGTGTGTTCATCTTATTTGTTGGCACGTATTATTTCTATATCTGGAGTTAGGAGAATAAGATATAAACATGTATCACTGATGTAAACATATTAAGTGGAGGCCATTAAGGGTGCTCCAGAAACAATCAGTTGTAAATGGCTTTTGTTACTTGAAAGCCTTCCTGTATACGTGTGGGCCAGCCCAGGGGGAATGGAGACTAGGGGTCTTACAGTGACATGTGACCATGTCACCTGATAATGAAATTCATCTTAAATCTAGTACTTTTCCATTTAGAAGGAGGAGTGGGGACCCAGAGAGACAAAAGATTCCCACCTTTTGGCAAAGCTATAAAAGGGGGTGGAGCAGGTCAAAAGGAGGCCAGTCATGAGAAAATCGCTGGTTACCACCCAAGATGTCTGCTGGATCTAACAAAGACTGTACCAGGGGAAAGGATTGGGCCCAGACTAGGAAGGAGTCTAGCCTGTGAAAGAAGCTTATTGGAACATCTTTGAGGGTGAGATATTACCTGTAATCAGTTTTCAGAGTAGCAGCCGTGTTAGTCTGTATCCGCAAAAAGAACAGGAGTACTTGTGGCACCTTAGAGACTAACAAATTTATTAG